ACTGCATTTCCTGCCGCTCTCCTGGCTGCATTTCTTGCTGCTCCCCCCGTTGCATTTCCTGCTGCTCCCCTGGCTGCAGCTCCTGCTGCTCCCCAGGCTGCAGTTCCAACTGCTCCCCCATCTGCATTTCCTGCTGCTCTCCTGGCTGCCGTGCCTGCTGCTCCCCCATCTGGATTTCCTGCTGTTCCTCCCCTATCTGCATGTCCTGCTGCTCCCTTGGCTGCCGTTTCTGCTGCTCCCCTGGCTGCCGTTCCTGCTGCTCTCCTGGCTGCATTCCCTGCTGCTCCCTCATTTGCAGTTCCTGCTGCTCCCTAAGCCACAGTTTCTGCTGCTCTCTTGGCTGCCATCCCTGCTGACCTTCGCCCATCTGCTCATGCTGCCGGGGAGGCAGCCCACCCTGCTGACTCCGCTGTTGTTGCCTTTCAAACTGCTGCTCCTGCAACTCACTTGGCTGCCTTTCCGACTGTTGCTCGTGCTGGCCCGCGAGGCGCCCTCGTTGAGCAGTCCCGCTACGACCACGACTGCGACCTCGACCACGACGGCGCACGCCCTCTTGCCCCGTGCTCGCGGGCTGCACACCTTGTCCTTGCGCGCTCCGAAAGAGAAAAGTATGTTCCACAGCTCCAGCCCATCCCTTTAGAGACGCCCCCGTTCGTGCCTTCGGGAAGGGATTGATGTCTCTAGTCTCCCCTGCAGCCACCGGCAGACCCTGCTGCATCGCCGACAGCGTTTCTGGTTGCTCCCTCCCTGGTTTCCGTCCCTGTTCCCCACGCTCCCAATGCTCCTCCTCGAGTAACTCCCCCTGGACCTTTGTCGGCAGGCCCAGCTGGCCCTCCGCCAGACGGCTCGGCTGCCTCCTCAGCACCTTTTCCGGCAGGCCTGCATCCGTCACCCCCTGCTGCCCACCTGCCCCGCACTCCCGGCCCTCATCCGCCAGCAGGGCCCCCTGCACCTCCTGCCTCCCCGCTGTCGACTCCGCCTGCTCTGCCGTCGCCCACTCTTGCCGACCGCCCGTGCCAGCTACCAACAAACGCCTCAGCTCCTGCCGTCGTGCCAAGCGCGGTCCAAGTGGAGCCCTGCTAGGACCCACTGAAGCTCCAAGAGTGCCGGGCGACTCTATTGCCGTGGCACCAAGTGGAAGCTCGCGCCGCCGCCTATTATGCAGCTCCTGCAAGTGCCGGCGTTGCGCCTCCCACGCCGCCACTGCCCTGTCCATCCCCGGATCACTTGGTTCCTGCCCACGCCCATCTACCCCTCGGGTGTCTTGTGCATCCACCAGCCCAGAGGATGCGTGTGGGCAATTGGGCGATGCTTGCTGGTCTACCGAGGGCGTGCGTGGGGTAACAGCCGCCTCCCGCTGTTCACCAACCGTGAGTGGTGCCTCAGCCAAAGGAGGCTGAGCATCCCCATTACTAAGCCGCTGCGAAGTTCCTGAGAGCGGCGGTACACCGAGCATGTCGTTGGTACTCATGGGGGCGGCTGGTGCCTCGCGGTGTCGTTTGCATGGTGTCCCCTCCGAGCAAAGTCGGTCTACCGAGCTCAGGCGCCGGAGACCGAGGAGGAGTGGCTGCGTAGGGCCTACCCAAGGCCGCTTGAGAGTGTTTGCTTGGGGCTGCGCTACATACTCCCGAGCGCTAGTGCCTGAGTGCCTGTCTGGGTCAGCAAGTGCTTCCGCCTCGCCATGCGGTGCCTGCGTAGGTGTGTGCTCGTGCTGCAAGTCGGCCATGCCGTGGATCCTGTAGCGTCTGTCTAGATCCGCGCTCTTCAGTTCCAGCTCCTAGCAACAAGAGAGCCCGGTGTGCCCGTGTGGCGGGGTAGCGAGAAACCGAACACTGCTAATCTTGCTCCAAGCGGGGAAAACCTGGTTGTGCACGTGGTAACGAGGAAACGCACACTGCAGTTCCTGCTCCTAGCGAGGGAAAACCAGCTGCACACTCGGCTACGCGAAGACGTCCACTGCAGATCCTGCTCCTAACGTGAGTCGTGGCGTCAGGGGCGAAAGCAACAACCGTCCACTTGGGTCCCTGCTCCTAGCGTAAATCGCAGCTATGGCGTGAAACCGTCACTTCACTACGCGCTCCTACGTGGAATCGCTGCTGTGGGCAGGGTAGCGTGAAGCAATCGCTGCGCTAACCTGTTGCTCGTGGGATTCGTGGCCGTGGGCGCGTTGGCGTGAAGCTTACGTTTCGCGACCTAGTGCTAGCTGAATTCGCGACTGGGGGCAAGGTGTCGTGTGGTGTACGCTATGCGACCTGCTGCTATCGAGACACGGCTAGGGGCGCGGTGACGTGTGGCGCACGCTTCGCGACCTGGTGCTAGCAAGTTTCACGGCTGGGGGCGTGGTGACGTGTGGCGTTCGTATCGCGTTTTGGCACTAGCAGGATTTCCGGCTTGTGGCGGAGTGGCGCGCGACGTACGGATCTCTTGCTAAGTGGTGGAAAGCGGTTAGATTACCAGATATTCAGCAGTTTGCAGAAGGCTGCATGACATACTGCTGGAGAGCCGAGCAAGAGAGAGACAAGCAGCAGCTGTTAGCGGCTGTTGCGGCAGTTGCACTAAACTACAGCGTCAAATGCCTGCCAGCAAAATGTACAGCCAATGCATTGGTGGTATTGTAAGTACAGTAACGAAACGAGAAATTCGGGCAATGAGATGCTACTAAGACACGCGCAGATTATTAGGTATACATTGGGTGGCTCTCAATCTTTGTCTCTGACAGTTTGAGGCCCGCGGAAGTGCATTTTTTCAGAAGTGTATTTTTACGTTCAATTCCTTCGTCTCGCGGTTCTTGCAGCTGGTGCTTCAAAACGTCTGGAATCTGAAATTTGGGAGGGAAATGACTTCACTAAGCGAGTTGTGCTTATGCTTCCCGTCCCGATGAGCATGCCATCAAAGAGGTTTTTTTTTTTTTTTTGGCCCGTGAAATGTACATCTTGCTGTTTTGCTTCCAGTTTGTCTTGGTGATGGAATGATTCATAGAGACCTAGAATGATGTGTGTACGACGAAAGAAGCACGTCATCAACAGATGAATTTCAAAAAAGAGTAAGAACTATTTTTAGATTTGATATAGACTTATGCTTTGGATAGCGGTGTTCTTACTGGTTCTTACTGGTTGGCATGATCAGTGTTTGCTGTGATATAGTATTGCTTTTCCTTGGGATTTTCATTTATGGCTTTAGATGATTTGAACAGATAGCAGTTGTGATTTCCCCTGGCTGTCCGCCTGATCCCTGGGGAGGCTTGAACCTGCCCGATAAATACACCACATCCGATAACTGCCGCACCCTACGTCGCTCTGACAGCTTGGAGTTGGAAAATCTAGAAGCTGGTGGTGGCTCCATTCTCACCACAGAAATGGCATTGTGTCGTCACCCCGTGTTTGCACCACGCCAAACAAGCCGACAATTTTGCGACAATTACACAAACGACAGAAAAGCTGACATGGCGTGTCTCGCTATGGAATGGATATCGTGGGGTCGGTGGTGGTGATCGAACCCTTGTTTGGCAGGATGTTTTCTCCATATATATCTAAAGGATGAGGGTAGTCTCCGAGTTCAATTGTTTGGGAATGTCATCCCTTAAGTGAAACTCACTCGTTCAGGTTTGTAAAAACTGGAAAATACAGTATTTCGACATTAACCCAAGACACCGCTTGGTCGTCCAAAACTGGAGAGGCCTGTGTTCGACGCAAGTTCAGGAGCTGTGCTTAGATAAATCGAACAGTGCTGTAAGTGAACACGCCTTTACGGGAAATTTGATGTCATTTCTGTGCTGTAGTAATTTTACGAAGCAGTTTGGTCGTTGCTTACTGTATAGGTCACCCATGGGCCATGATGGGTGATCTTCGCTTAGTTGAAAGACAAAGAATGCGCCGGTGGGAATACCAAGGTGTTGTACCATACTGTACAACAGCATGAATGTCGTCGGTCACCGTCTCTGGACTGATGTCAGTTGTCATACGTGTTGTTTCTGAGACTTCCTGAAACGACAGGGTAACAGAGGATTGCAAAGCGGGGAGGAGAGGGGGGAGGGGGAGTGGTTGACAGAGGGAGACAGGGGGCTGCTCGACTGGGAGACGGAGGGAGGGTGGAAATTGGGAGCGGAAGGCGGAGTGATCGAAAGCGCAGATACTGCTGTATACACCTAGTCCGCGATATTTTAACCAGGTGAACTTTGTTCTTTCAAACCCCCTTTGTTCGTTTCTGGGTAATGATATTAGCACCCAGAGTCATCGAGGCTACGATTCTGCAGCCAAAAGTGCTTCCATCTAAGGAGCTCACACTTAGTGCTCCAAGATAGACGGAGTGACATTTGTCACACTCGACATTCACTGACTTTTTTCTGCCGTCATCTCGCGAAGGGAATGCTAGATTCTACCCTCGTAAAGTTTGAAACAACCCGACTAAATAAGTTTGATAAAGGAGAAGTACCCTCGCGTGGTTAAGATAGCGGCGGTTAAAATACCGCGGACTAGGTGTATACTGCTGTTCCGTGCCTGCACGGAACAGCAGTAGCACAGTGCAGCAGTCCAGTCGTCACATGCATGGCAAGCAAACCTGTACTGTAGGAGGAGGCAGCTGCATGGATATCAGATACTCCTCGAATCGCGGTCGCAGCCCAAATGCTTCTCTGGCTCTCGCCGCAGCTGCTTGGTTGGGAAATTCGGCTTTTGATCTTCACACTTCTCTTCCACAAATCCCCCCTCCCTGTCAACTGAACCAGCGAGCCACAGTCCCTGTTTTTGCTCCCTCAGGAGAAATCAGAATCGCACACACACCCAAGGATATTATGAATGGAAGCTCCTCATGTGCACAGCTCTGAGCATTGTACAGCAGCATTTCCCCAAGTCACACCGATGCTTATTGCTGTCCCCTTCACAAAGCTTTGGAAAGCAACCAGTCTGCTGATGCTCACAAATGCGCACGTGCTGATCCACTAGGCACTCTCCTGCAACTTGAAGTTCATTCCCTTAGTAGCAGTAGTCAGCTGGATAACTAACATGGCCACCACTGACCGGCGTCCCGCTCTCTCAAGACGGTCCAGGTCGCATCAGAAGTCGCCGTCCACGGACTCGTTCCTCGCCGACTCGCTCTCGCGCTTCGTCGAAACCCTCGCCGAGAACGACCCTTCTTTCTCTTCGCTTCCCCCCCGCCACTCCCCGCGGAGCACCCTCTCCCCCATGTCCTCATCTTCTAGCACTCCTTCCGCCATGAGAGTTGGCCGCCGTTCCCTTGAAATTCCTAGCGACACGGATTCGAGTTACGGATTCGGGTCTCCTCGAGACGTCCCGAGGCGCCTCGCGATGCGACTCCTCGTGGGCGACAGCGGCGGGGCGGTCGACGCGGCGACACCGAGAGTCCGCACGCCGGAAATGGGTGTTCCGCGAGGAAGCAGCGGAAGATGCAGTGTGAATGCCCCAGGCACATACAACCGCGACCAAAGGAACGGCGACTTTTCGAGGGAGTTTTGTCTTAAGGCGGATGCGAGTCGCGAAGGGCAGCAGAGCCGTAACCGCAGCTCCAAGGCAATGTTCCGCAGCATTAGCGAGCACGTGGGCCCAGATACGACAAGCCCATTCTCCCCCGCTTCCCCCGCTTCCTCCGCCTCTTCTCCTAATGGGGTCCAACGGACCGCGTCGTCTAAAGCCCGCTACCTGTCGCGCGTCGGGGCGTCGGAGCCGTTGGAGCGCACCCTCCCCCGCAAAAGCCGCTTGAACGGCGACGAGGACACTGATGCTGGCCCGGCGGCGACGGGCCGCGACGAAGCCACGGATGCGGAGGGGGAGTCGTCGGACGCGTCGGTGTCCATGCGGCGCCTGGGACGCGAGATGAACGAGCTGAGGAAGCAGCTCGAGCGATGCTCCAAGATTAACAAGTGGCTCACTGGTGAGTCACCGTGAGGCGGCATTGTTCATTTTTAGAGTTCGAAAACGTGCTGCCACGTCGCGCGTTTCCAGTTCGATTATCGTGCTTCTTTTGGGATGGTTTCTTAACCTTTTTTTTTTTCGCCTGTGCCCTTCTCTACCTTCGTTTTACAGAGTCTTTGCGTTCCGCGGAGCGCACCGCGGCGGAAGCCACGGCAGCCGCGCAGGTGGCCGAAGCGGAACGGGACCACGTGGCGAAGGAGCTGGAGGAGGTGCTGAACGCGTGGTCCGAAGCGGACAACGCGGCGGCGGCGAAGCAGGAGGAGGAGCGCACGTCTACGGAACGAAGCCGCGCGTCGCTGGAGCGGGCGCGCGCGGTGTTGGCGCAAGAGAGGGAGGCGGTGGGGAGGGAAAGAGAGGAGGTGAGGAGGGAGCGGGAGGAGCTGAAGCGGGAGAGGGAGGCGCTGCAGAAAGATACGGATCGGATTGCCAAAGAAGCGGCGGAGCGAGCAGCGCAAGAGGTGCAGCTGGAGTGGAGCAAGCTGCAGCAGCAAGCGGAGAAGATGGGCCTTCGGCAGCACCAGCACCATGTGACTCCAGACGGCGTGCTTCTAAGGAGCGTGAGCATGAACAGCACGTGCAGCTGCCTGAGCAGCACGCGAAGCATCAGCGAGGCCAGGCCGAGCAACGAGGGGGCAACGAACCAGCAGCCAAGCAAGCAGGGGGGGAGCCGGAGCAGCGGCAACACCAAGAGCGGCGCGTCTGGTGGTCGTTGGCTGGCCTCGTCGCGGTCGGAGAATGATCTGGGCGCATGTGCTTCCAGGTCGCGAGAGCACGCTCCGAGTGGGCTTCCGCACTCCGCGAGCGGGGGCGAATATGTGAATTTGTCACAGAAGAGCATCGCCTCGCCAAAAGAACGCGTGGGCCAGTCGTGGGGTCTCGAGAGCCCTGGCGAGGGGGTGAGTCCCCGGACCAGCGCCCATTCGCCCCCAACCAGGAGCCCTCGTGGCAACAGCACAGGCGGTTACAGCAGCAGCAGTCTCAGTAGTGTAGGAAGTTACTCTTCAGTTTTGGACTACGGTGCTAGACCACCCAAGTCTCCTGGATTGCTTCAAGACCCAAGGATATCCGGGAGGCGTGTGAAGTTTTCTCTCATTGACTGATGACTCAGTACAGTAGTTGTGTGTGTTTGTGTGTGTGTGTTTGTGTGTGTGTGTCGTGTGTGTTTGTGTGTCTCTTTTTCCCGGTTTTTTTGTGCGTTCTCTCGAGGTACTCTCAAATGAGATTGAAGTGTCCATTTGCCGCCCATGAAAGCTCTGGGGAAAAGCATTATTGACAAATCGGTGGTTGTATTATATGATGAGATAATATCGAGACTTAAGCACTTCAAGGAATTCGTGTAGTACGGTTAGTACAGTGCGAGACTTCGCACGTAATAGTTAAGTACCGATAGGCTGACGTAAGCAAAGCGCTACGCGCCTTAGGATGACGTCAGCACGTAGCCATAGGCCTCGCAAATAGTCACGGTACAGTACAGGATGCGAATAGGTACTTTACTCTAGCTATATATTCTGTATGTTTGTCATTTTATAATATATCTGATTTCAGAGACATTGATCCTGAAACATATCACTACATGGGCTTTTATTAGTCCAGACAAAGCCTTCTATAACTGGCTTTAACTCATACAAGACTTCCGCTACGACAGGAAGCTACCATCCTAAGCATTACGATCCTACTCAATCACTTCAAATTCTAACATGGTATTGCGAGCGTCTTAGGATTCTACAAGCTTCCAACTACATACTCTGCAAATATGTTTGGCTCTCCACGATCCAACAACGGCTCTTCTGTTACGAGCCCATCACGCCCAACAGCGTCTCCAGCTGCTGACAATTCTTATCTGTAGCAACAACATCAACAACAACAATATCAGCAACAACCGATGTACGGCATGCCACTAAGCAATCAGCCCGTACACACAACCGCAGCAGCGGCATCATCGGCAGCAGCCGCAGCAACAGCGGCATCAGCAGCCACAACAGCTGCAGCTGCAGTAACTGGTTCTACTAATCAACCAGGACAACAGTCTAGTTTTGTACCGACTGGACCATATCAATATCAAGGTGCTTACCAGCCAACAAATCTTCAACAACGTGTCAATGCTGCCGTTTTGTCACTTAACCAGACGTTTCCAACTCTTAAGAGTCTTGATGGCTCCAGTTATCAACATGGACATATGCCACAAGGGCGCGACGGGTCAAACTGTTAGAATCCTAGGCAAAGTTGGTATTGAATGTCGAGAGTGTTGGTACAAAAATGAAACCTAAGGGGTTGTACCCCACAGTGAGTACCCCACTAAAGCCTATCTAAACTACAACATATAAACATATGTTTGACACACCCCCATACGCAAAGTGGGGGAGAACAGAGGGTCACAAGGCCAGGTAGGAAGTGCAAAGCAAGCTCAGGGTGGATCACAACGTCACCACGCAGTCTGAGCACAAGCAAAAGACCACAAGGCCAGTTCACATGCAGAGATATATATATGTAACAACAACAGTACAGTGATATCTACCTAAAAGAGCAAGCATGCAGGTATATATATAGATCACAGTACAAACAAAGCCTACAGCAAGTGAGGAAGCGTAGGCACAAGGCCTAACAAAGTGCAGAAATGCTGATGATCACCAGGCGAAAGCGCCTTGGTGAATATATCAGCAGTGTTGGCCCGAGTGGCCACGTAAGTAAGACGAAGCTGGCCACGCTGCTGCAGCTCTCGAGCAAGGAAGTAACGGAGAGCGATGTGCTTTGTTCTGTGCTCCAGTCTGTGCTCCTGACACAAGGCAATGGCGGCCTTGTTGTCGACGTACAGAACTGGAGGAGAACGAGGCCGCTCTCCCAAGTCGGTCAGCAGGTAGGTGAGCCAGCGTAGATCCTGCGCAGCCATGGCTGTGGCGTAGATCTCGGCCTCACAGCTGGAGCCGAGAAATGAAGACGAACGTGTAGAACGCCAGGAAACTGAACCAGAACCAAGGCTGAAGGTGTAACCCTGTGACGACCGCTGCGTAGCCTGGTCGTCAACCCAAGAGGCGTCCGAGTGACCAGTGAGGACAACGTCACCTCGTCCTCCAAGCACGAGCCCCATGCCCGATGTACTGCACAAGTAGCGTAGTACCCTCTTAGCAGCATCCATGTGCACCTTTCGGTGCCGACCAGGAGCCACGTAGCGAGCCAGAAGGCCAAGAGGGTATGCAAGGTCAGGACGAGTGCAGGTCATCAGGTACATGAGGCAGCCCACTAGCTCTGGGTAAGGACCACTCGGCTCTACGGACTCGTCCGAAGGTGGAGCTGAGAGCGAGTGACATGTAGCCAGAGGAGTGGCCTGTGCTGAGGACCAGGTGAAGCCGAAGCGCTGAAGGACCTGCTGCACCATGTGTGACTGAGTCAGTGTGATGGTGCGGCGTGCTCTGTCCCGGGTGATCTGCAAGCCAAGATAGCTGTGCAGTTCACCCAGGTCTGTGCACGTGTGTCTCTTTTGCAGCTCCGACTTCACCAAGGCGAGAGCCTCAGTGTCAGCAGTGGCAAAGACCAAGTCGTCGACGTACACGAGGATGTAGAACGGCGGCAGCGAAGTGTCGGTGCGCAGAAACAGTGACGGGTCAGCAGTCGACGGAGCAAACCCAAGAGCCGCAAGTGTCGACCTCAGTGTGTCGTGCCACTCACTTGGCGCCTGGCGGAGACCGTAGACCGGCCGCCGGAGGCTCCACTGGGTACCAGGAGGGAACGACCCAGTGAAGCCAGGAGGGCGGCACAGCCATATCTCCTCGTGCAAGCTGCCCTGTAAGAAGGCTGTGCTGAAGTCAAGAGAGTGAAGCTCGTAGTCACGCTGAGCGGCAACATGCAGCAGCACCCGAAGAGTGGTCATCTTCGGGGTGGGGGAGAAGGTCTGGAAGAAGTCAACTCCCTCTCGCTGACTGAAGCCTCGAGCCACGTAACGAGCCTTGAAGACAGGCGGAGAACCTGGAGGCCGCTTCACCCTGAAAATCCACATGCCACTGACAATGTTCGCCCCAGGAGGGGGAACCTCGTCGACGTAGGTGCCTGTGGACTTCCAGGATGCCATCTCTGCGTCCACGGCTGTCTGCCACTGAGAGGAGTACTCACCCGCGATCGCCTCAGCGTAAGAGCGCGGGGTAGGGATGTCTGGTGCATCCGGGTCTCCCTCAGGGGCAAGCAGCATGGACACGAGATGAGGCGCAGCGGCTGCAAGACACTCAAGGTCCTCCTGCCTGTCCTCAAGGACTTCCGTGCCAAGAGCACACTCACCCCCGATGGACGGAGGACAGACAGACTTAGACGCAGCAACAAGACTGGCGGCGTAGTCTAGACGACAGTGAGCAGCAAAGTCAACAAGCTCAGTGACTAAGGCGGACGCAGCAGCAAACTCAAACGACAGGTCAGTGACAACAGTGGCAAGCAGACGCGTGGCAGTAGAGTGCTCAGCACGAAACTGGTCAGACGCAGGGTTAGCAACGACAGGCAGAGAGGACGCAAGGGGAGACGGTAGAGGAACACGCGACGGAGGAGAGGAAGGACGACGAACAACAAGGTGAGGGCCGGAGACAGCCGGCTGGCTCGGACGAGGAACACGACGACCTGAACGGACAGGTGAGACAGGACGCGACGCAGGCTCACGACGCTCTGCAAGGCCCCCAGTCTGCTCTGTGTACGGAGAAGGAGCAGGCAGCGGTGAGCCAGGCTGTAACGGAAGACCAGTAGACGAGGGAAGACTGAGAACCTGGCGAAGTGCAGAGTCAGGTGGTGGCTGAGACGACGGAGATGGCGGAGTGAAGAACAGACGCGGCTGAGCAGTGCCACCAGCACCAGCAGCTCCAGTACCTCCAGCAGCGCCAGCACCTCCAGCAGCTCCAGCACCCTCAGCAGGTCCAGCACCGCCAGCAGCCCCAGTACCCTCAGCAGCACCAGAACCTCCAGCACCTCCAGCAGCTCCAGTACCTCCAGCAGCAACACCGCCAGCCCCAGCAGCTCCTGTACCCCCAGTACGAGCACCTCCGGGACCAGCGACACCAGTAGAAGAACCCCCAGCAGTAGAGCCCTGAGGTGCAGAAGTGCGACGCTGACGGCGACCGTACCAGTCGTGCAGCTGCTGGGAGGTGAGGGGCACACGCGGACGAAGACGGCTACTCTAAGGAGACCGCGGAACAGCAGTCCCAGAACCCTCAGGTGACTCACCCCCAGACTCAGCACCTCCAGGCTCCGCACACGCAGGCTCAGCACCCCCAGACGCAGCACCTCCAGACGCAGCACCTCCAGACGCAGCACCCCCAGACGCAGCACCTCCAGGCTCCACACACTCATCGCCCCCAGACTCAGCACCCCAAAGCTCCGCACCCCCAGGGACAGCACCACTCCCAGCAGGACCGGAGTCACCAGTGACCTCAACAGGCGCAGGCGCGGGGGGGTCTACCTGAGAGACACCTGAAGGAGCAGGACCTGGCGCGGGGAGGGGGTCTACCTGGGGAGGACCTGGGGCGAGAAAGAGCGGTGGGGGGGGGGGGGGGGGAGGAGCAGTGCGGTAGGGGAAGAGGCGGTAAAAGGGGACCGACTCGTCAAAGGTGACGTCCTGAGACGCAGAGACACGGCGCGAGGCGGGGTCGTAAAACTGCCAGCCAGGCGCGTCAGGGACAAAGCCAAGGAAGACACAGGGAATGGCGCGAGGGGAGAGCTTGTCCGCGGTGGTATCGCGGACAAAGGCACGAGCACCCCAGACCCGGAAACGTGACGCGTCGCCAACCTTCCCCGTCCACAGCAGTGTGGGCGAGGTCTCCGGCAAGGAGACACGGGGCCAAAGGTTGAGCTGATGCGCGGCGTATCGGACCGCAAACGGCCACAGAAAATGGGGGGCAGCCGCATGGATCATGGAGGTACGAGCGACCTCCATGACTAAGCCAATGCGGCGCTCAGCAACCCCATTCTGCTGCGGAGAGGCCGGAAGCGTGAAAGTCTGGCGGATGCTGTGCTCCG